TGCTCTTAATCGAAAAGGGAGAAACATAGGGACGCATCCCAGTGTTTTGAAAAGAAGAAAAAAACATAGGGACGTATCCCGGTGTTTCGGAATGGCTCAAGCATTGGAACGTATTCCAGATGCTCTTAACCGAAAAAGGAGAAACATAGGGACGTATCCCGGTGTTTCAAAAAGAAGGAGAAACATAGGGACGTATCCCGGTGTTTCGGAATGGCTCAAGCATTGGAACGTATTCCAGATGCTCTTAACCGAAAATGGAGAAAGATAGGGACGTATCCCGGTGTTTCAAAAAGAAGGAGAAACATAGGGACGTATCCCGGTGTTTCAGAATGGCTCAAGTATTGGAACGTATTCCAAGTGCTCTTAATCGAAAAGAGAGAAACATAGGGACGTATCCCGATGTTTCAAAAAGAAGGAGAAACATAGGGACACATCCCGATGTTTCGGAATGGCTCAAGCATTGGAACGTATTCCAAATGCTCTTAACCGAAAAGGGAGAAACATAGGGACGTATCCCGATGTTTCAAAAAGAATGAGAAACATAGGGACGTATCCCGGTGTTTCGGAAAGGAGCGTGTATAACAATGCAAGCTAAGATGAATTCCAAACACGCTGAAATTGTGTAAGGAAAGGAACATTCTAACCACGCTGAAAACGTGAGAAAAGGACCGAAAACAACCGCCCAGGTGCACGCATAACGCAACCTGAGAAAGCCCCGGAGGGCAACGATCCTAAATGCTGCTCAGCGTAAAAGGATAAATGATACAAGATAACACAAGATACAAATAAATGCAATAAGTGATGATACGATGCATGTTACAAGCAATGTGGAGCATGATGTTTAGGGAATGCAATAAACAAACAAAGCGGCACTTTAGAAAGCACCTCATGGAGTGAGTGGCGGTAAACCTCTTTACTCTGACGGGGATCTCCCCTCCATTGTGTTCTTCGAACACTTACCTTCAACTCGCAGTACAAAGGTCCTGAAATACTGACAAGGAGCAACATCTGCATGGAGAAACCACAAATGCCTTTTTTCGTCCTAATCATATTCATAACTTTCCCTAGGAACTCATTGCAAACACAGCCAAGATGCCTCCGGCAGGGAATGGTACTCAGGCAGACCGACCAATTCAGGTGGTCGGCCGACCACTTCCCCTGGTCGGTCGACCAGTTCAAAAGGTTCAATCCAAAGAAAGGTGGTCGGCAGCCCCATTTAATAGTCTCCACATGGAATGCAAGCTAGTGGTATGGTGAGAGACCAGTAAATGTGGCTCAAAGACCAATGAGACCAGTTTCCTAACAAGAAAATCAGCTGGCGGGAGAAAAGTGGTCTCCAAGGAGAAAAGGTGGTCTCCCACCCTTGTACCACCTCCCAAACAATGAAAACAAGGTCCATGCCAAAAATGAACCAAGACAGATGCACAATGAGGGTTCGAGGGTCAAAACGCGCAGCCAGGTGCCCCGAAAATAGGCTGTTAAGCATCGAAAGTGGCGTGCGACCACAAAGGTGGTCTCCCGGGCTACAATGTCCTCTAGAGAGAAGAAACAAGGTGTGTGCCAAAAACCGTGCTAAACGGAGAATGTTAAGTGGTCCTGAACCGAGGCGCGCAGCAGACAGCTCCGAAAATCGAAAACTAGTCTCCAAACGGGAACAGTGGCCTACGACCACGAAAAGTAGCCTACAGCCATTGAGAGATGGTCTACAAGACCTCTCCCTTCCTTTGGAAAGAGAAAGCAAGACTTGGTCCACAAACCGAGGCAAAGCACAAAAAAATTTCGAGGCTCTCGGCCAAGAACTCCAAAACCTCGAAACGAGCACAACATTCGCAATCACCGAGCGCTCAATCGATGACGTCTGAGTCTTAAGGTCGGTCAAAAATGGGATGTCTACACCAATCGGGGCAAAAAATGCCAACCGTCATATAACAAGTTCAGCAAGATCTACTTCTGAATCAAGAACAAATGCTAGAACTAATATGGGAAAAGAACCCTTGAGACAAGGTAGAGTTTTTGCACTTGTGCCTAGCGATGTACAGAATACTGAATCTGTGGTGTCAAGTATAATTTCTATCTGTGCTCAAAATGCCCATGTGTTGATAGATTCTGGTTCCACGCATTCATTTGTATCTCATGCTTTTTCACAGAAGTTAACTAGACCATTAGAACATATGAATTGTTTATTATCTGTGTCTACACCGTATGCGGGTTCTATGATATTTGCTTATGTCTATCCGGCTTGTGATATTATAATTGGTAATATTACATTATATGCTGATTTGTTGCCCCTGAGCATTGATCATTTTGATTGTGTTCTGGGTATGGATTGGTTGACCAAATATTGCGCCACCATTGATTGTGCGAATAAATCTGTTGTGTTTAGACTGCCTGGGATACCGAGTTTGTTTACATTGGAACTGGGGTAGTTTCTCTACTGTACTTGATTTCATTTCTGAAAACCAGAAAATTGTTAAGAAAAGGGTGTCGGGGCTATTTGTGTTATGTGATGACTGCGTCTTCAGATAAGGCTAGTGTGGAAACAATTCCTATAGTCTGTGAATTTGCTGATGTATTTCCTAATGACTTACCTGGGGAGTTAATTGATAGAGAAATCGAGTTTACTATTGATGTTATACTTGGGACACAACTGATTTCTAAAACCTCATACAGAATGTCTACTACTGAATTGAAATAATTGAAACTCCAACTCCAAGAACTTTTGGACAAGAAATTCATTCATCTGAGCATATCACCTTGGGGTGCTCCAGTTCTGTTTGTGAAAAAAAGGTATGGGTCTTTGAGGTTATGCATAGATTACCGTGAGTTGAACAAAATAACTATGAAAAACAAACACCCCTTACCACGAATAGATGACTTGTTTGACCAACTCCAGGAAGCCAAGTGTTCTCTAAGATAGATCTTAGATCCAAGTATCACTAGTTAGGGGTCAAGGAAGAAGATGTAGAGAAAACAACATTCAGAACTTGATATGGGCACTATGAATTTTTAGTCATGCCATTTGGGGTAACAAATACACCCGCAACCTTTATGGACTTGATAAATAGGGTTTTTAAACAATTTCTAGATGAGTTTATAGTTGTGTTTATTGATGACATTCTAATTTACTCCAAAAGCAAGGAAGAACATAAGAGTCATTTGAGAACTGCTTTACAAATTTTGAGGGAGAAGAAGCTCTATGTCAAATTGTCCAAATGTGAATTTTGCCTTGACAGTGTAGTATTTCTGGGACATGTGATCAACAAGGATGGTGTATTAGTAGACCCATAGAACATTGAAGCCATTGTCGATTGGCCAAAACCAACCAACGTGTGTCAGAAGTTAGAAGTTTTCTGGGGCTTGCTGGTTATTACAGAAGATATCTGAAAGATTTCTCAAAACTTACAGAAGATAGTCTTGGTTTTCAAGAGTTGAAAACCAAATTAGTGACTGCATCGATTTTGACTTTACCTAATGGTACTAATGGGTTTCAGATTTGCAGTGATACTTCCTACAAAGGCTTGGGGTGTGTCTTAATGCAAAATGGAAAGGTAATTGCTTATGCCTTTTGGCAACTTCGTCCTCATGAAAGAAATTATCCAACCCATGACCTTGAACTCGCCGTAGTGGTCTTTGCTTTGAAGATTTGGCGACATTATTTGTATGGTGTGACTTATGAGGTATACACAGACCATAAAAGCCTCAAATATTTCTTCACCCACAAAGAATTGAACATGAGACAGAGGAGATGGTTAGAATTGATCAAAGACTATGAATTGCAAATTTTGTATTATCCAGGGAAGGCAAATACCATTGCAGATGCATTGAGCCGAAAATCTGTTGGCAATTTGTCATATTTGCTGACCGGTCAGAGAGAGTTATTATATGACTTGGAGAATGATGAGATTGAAGTTGTGTTACGTGAATAGGGCGGGATTTTAGCCGCCATTTCCGCTCAGCCTGCAATTATTAAAAAGATTAAAGAGAAACAACGCGAAGATGAGTTTCTGAGGAAAATTGTTGATCAAATTGATTCAAAACTGAAACCGGGATTTGTGCTTGACAATGATGTATTGAAATTTCATAATCGTCTTTGTGTGCCAGACTGTTTTGACTTGAGGAAACGCATCATGGCTGAAGCTCACAACTCGAAATTTGCTATGCATCCGGGAAATACGAAGATGTATCATGATTTGAAACAGAATTTCTAGTGGCCGAAAATAAAGAAGTGTATTGCAGATTTTGTGGCTAGATGTTTACACTGCCAACAAGTTAAAGTTGAACATCAACGACTCACTGGTTTATTACGGCCGCTTCTAATATCAGAATGGAAATGGAATCACATTACCATGGACTTCATTATGGGATTGCCTTGCTTTTCCCGAGGTATGGATTCTATTTGGGTCATTGTTGACTGTTTGACTAAAAGTGCCCACTTTTTGCCTGTCAAATCTATATATAATGCGGATAGATTGGCTAATGTATATATCAATGAGATTATGAAGTTGCATGGAGTTCCAGTTTCCATAGTATCCGACAGAGACCCTAAGTTTACTTCAAGATTCTGGCAGAGTTTACAACAAGCCTTGGGAACTGAGTTGAGATTGAGCAGTGCTTATCACCCATAGACAGACGGCCAATTAGAAAGAACGATACAGACTTTGAAGGATATGCTCAGAATGTGTGCCCTAGATTTCCAAGGCAATTGGGAGGCCTATTTACCATTGGTTGAGTTTGTGTATAACAATAGCTATCATTCGAGTATTGGTATGGCTCCATATGAAGCCTTGTATGGAAGGAAGTGTCGTTCTTCGATTTATTGGGCCGAAGTAGGTGATCGACCCTTGTTGGGATCGGAACTTATACAAGAGACGACTGAAAATGTGAAATTGATCTAACAAAGATTGAAAACTACATAAAGCCGTCGGAGGAGCTATGTTGATGTCTGAAGAAGAGACAGAGAATACGAAGTCGGGGATCACGTATTTATCAAAGTGACTCCAATGAAAGGCCAGACACGATTTGGTGTGAAAGGTAAATTAGCACCAAGATATGTTGGACCCTATGAAATCCTTGAGAAGATTAATTCAGTGACGTATCGAGTAGCTTTACCACCAGTTATGGAACATATGCACAATGTTTTTCATGTCTCTATGTTTCGGGGTTATTTGAGGGATCTACTACATGTGATTGAACCAAATCATGTGCTCCTAAAAGATGATTATACGTACGAGGAGAGGCCAATGTACATTGTAAATCGCCGAATCAAAAGATTAAAAAACATGGAAATCCCGTTAGTAAAGGTTGATTGGCAGAACCACGGAGAGACATATGCAACATGGGAGACAGAGGAAGATATGATGAAAAGATACCCAGATTTTCTCCCTCTGGACCCAATGTTTTTCCAAAAAAAAGGTAACTCGAGTTTGGAGGACCAAACTCTTTAAGGGGGGAAGGCTGTAATAACCCCAACCTCTGATTTACGTTAATTCATGGTTAAATGAGCCTAATCAGTAATTAGGAGAAATTTCGAATTAAATTGCATGTATATGTGTTGCATTATTATGCTTTTATCTGTTTTTCGTAGAAATATCTGTTTCCGTTTCTGTTTCGTTCTGTGAATTAAAGGCCTTATCAGCATCCAATCGCAAAATTGACTTGAATTACGTGTTAGTTGAAATTTTTAGAATATTACGGTAGGTTCAATTAAAATTTGGTTCAGAACGATTAAAATAGGAAAATTAATGTCCAATTAAGCTTAATTAATGAATTACTTAATCCAAGCTTATATAAGGCACCTTTTTATACTTTCACTCATCATTTTCCTTCATTTCAACACATTTTTGAGCCCATATACACACACAAATGTGAGAGTAGGAGAGTAATGAGAAGACTGAGCTCAACCAAGGGATTTGCTAGGAAGAGAAAGGATTGAACTTAGAGATTCAAGAATTAAGCCTCTAGCTCTCATCTTAGAAAGTTCAGGTAATGCTTCAATCTTTAGATCGTTTACATATGAAGTTTAGGACATATACTCTAAAGAATTAAGTAGGTTGATACAGGATTTGAATTAGAATTAAAGAGAAATGAACCATATTATGCATGCATGCTCATTTTATCATAATTTGAAGTTGTTTTCAAAGAATTCCCTCTTGCATGTCCTCATTTTGACCTTGGTTTGAGAATTCAACATATTTTTAAGTTAGACATAGGGGTGTTCAAAAAATCGATTGGCACGATCAACTCGACCGAACCGAGCCGAACCGACATGTCACGGTCAGCTTCATTAGTATATGCGGTCGGCAACGATTTATGGTCGGTGAACGGATGCAAGGAAAACACAACCGCCTAAACCGATCCGACTGAGGTTTATGTAGTACATACGTGGCTTCATTCTATTCATAGTCAATATTACAACCTTATCACTAAACATAGTTGGCAACTTTTTATTAGTTCTTGACTTTTTATATTTATCACCTTATTGTTTTAACTAAAAGTTGAAAACAACCCATGTGAATCATTAGATGTATCAAATCAATTCTTTTTCCAATTCCAAGATCAAACAAGAAGCATTTGTTCTCTCTCTTCACCCTTCTCTTTATTCACAAATAGGCCAGCTGAAGCAATAATTTGAAGTTGTGATAAAGAGTTTCAAAGAAAAAATCTACAGCAACATAGGTCGTGATCAGCATCGTTTAGCTGGGACTAATGATGGTCATGCTTGATAAAATGAAGATTGAAGAGCTCAAAATAAGCCGTGATATCTCTTTCTCTCTCTCTCTCTCTCTCTCACACACACACACACACACTCACGCTTTCATCAACTTCATCTCTATCCCACTTCCACCCATTTCTCTTTCATTCCCTCTCCGATCTCCCTTCACTTTCCAAGGCCGCTCTTCTTAATCCTCAACCTCCTTTGCCTATCTTCCTCCTCAACCTCCCTCACTCTCTGGAACTTTGTTTCTTAATCTATCTTCCTTATGCTTTAGGGTGTGCTTGGTAAAGGATGAAGACTTTGGAAACTAGGGTCGGATATTTGTTGCCCGAACCGAATACCGACCGTTAAAGAGACACTCGATTCTTGTCGGCTTCAACAAGTTCATGGTCGAATTCGAGTCCCATTTTCTGAAACCTGAACTAGTCAAGTCAGGTGGCAGTTTGGCACTAAAACCGAGCCGACTCGACCTGTAAATACCCCTAGTTAGACACCTCATTGGATCATGTTTTGGAAGCTTGGAACTTACACCTTTACATGCATGATGTATATGGTTATGTTTTTAAAGAATTAGGTTTGGTTTTGCATACATCACATGCTCTTGAACCTTGTTTTTGTGGAATTGATTTTGAATTCACCATGTTTTCTAAGTTTACAAGAGTTTCCTCAAGTTTTTTGGCCCAAGGAACCATAATTTGCAGCTTTGTGGTTGGATTTGAAGCTTGGAAATAAATCTGGAAAGTCTAGAATTCTACTTCCATGCTCAAGCAACAAATCTTGCGCTTAAGCGACCACCTTTATTTTTACACTCCCGCTCGAGCGACCAAAAATTCACTTCAGCGTAAAATGCATGCTCCCAGAAGTTTGCGTGTTTTGCAGACTGCTCAAGCGACAAAAGTTGCACTCAAGCGAGGGAATGAATCTCACGCTTGAGTGAGTGTCGAGCGAGCATTGAGCGAAAAAATCAAGCAACCAGCACTTTTGCAAAGTTTACAGACCGCTCGAGCGAAGGAATATGCGCTCGAGCGACCATTCGTAGTTTGCATGTCCGCTCGAGCGAAGAAAGTTGCGCTCAAGCGAGATCCCTATTTTCAGCAATTTTTTGTTAAGTGTTTTCAAGTGCATTTGAGCATCCTCATTGCATTCTAGGCATTTCTAGGCCAAGATTAAGACACCATAATGAGGATAAGAAGTAGAAACACACCAAGATAAGAAAAGATTTAAGTTAATGTTTCCGGGTGTGTAATTCAATACATGTTCATTTTGTAACTATGTATGTCACGCACCGCATGATGTCTGATTTGTCCATTCTGTCTGTTTGTCTTGGAGCCCTTTGTTAATTGCGAGTAATAATTCTGTAAAGTTATGTTTAACTTTAATTATTTTCAGATGCTATGAAATGATCAGTTTTCTGAAATGCAATGTTTTGTATAAATGAATGATTATCCAAATTTCTGAAATGTATTCGTGGCATTCTTAGCTTCAGTTGATATCTGTTATCTATTCTGTTACGTCCCAATTATGGGTCAACTGTACGTCTCATGAGCCAACTATACCGTCTCCGTGCACGTGAGTCGACTGTATGCCTTCATGGCAATCCCTTTATGGGTCAACTGTACGCCTTTATTGTCACGACCCAAACCTGCCCCTAAAAGTTTGGTCCATGACTGACCTGTACTTAGGCCTCAAAACTAAATTTAACAAATATTTACTCAACTATAGGGCCTTAAGCGGAAGGAAATGACAAAATAATAACAAAACGTCCATTGAGTAGTGCTTAAATGCCGGGATCTTAAACATTACACAATTTATACACATAAATATATATATAAGTACACGTTGTGTCGGTGTATACAAGGAGTTAGCAACCCATAAGTTTACATATTAATCAAGGGTTTAACAAAAGCCACCAAAACTTGACCAAACATGTAACGTCAAAAGAACCGAACAAAAAGCTTCAATTGTGGAGGCTTAATACAACCGACCCACCGAAAAGGGCTCCTGAAGCTGACCTAGGGCTGTTCTCCACGCTAATCACCTACATAACCATATATAAAAAGAAAGTGAGCAAGGCTCAGTGAATAATAATAATATAAAGAAATTCGAGTGAATAGGCGTATGTCTTGGAGAATATTTATCTAATGTGAACATGCCCCCTTTGTTATACTCCATAACGACCTCAGGCCCAACATAATGCATAACGGCCTTGGGCCCAATGTAAGACTAAGTGGCCTCAGGCCCAATGCAATACAAAACGGCCTCGGGCCCAAAGTAATACAAAACAGCCTCGGGCCCAACGTAATGCAAAACGGCCTCGGGCCCAACGTAATACAAAACGGCCTCGGGACCAACGTAATACAAAACGGTCTCGGGCCCAAAGTAATACAAAACAGCCTTGGGCCCAACGCAATGCAAAACGGCTTTGGGCCCAATGTAATGCAAAACGGCCTCGGGCCCAACGTAATGCAAAACGGCCTCGGGACCAAGTAATGCAAAACAGCCTCGGGCCCAACGTAATGCAAAACGGCCTCGGGCCCAGCGTAACAACAGCTGTCCTGGGTTTTATAGGGTAGATGGAACGTCGGCATGTCTCCACCTCCCTCGACCTTAGAGCCATTATAAATAATAGAAACAGAACGACTTAGGGTCCATTTCGTATGCCATTGCTCATACTTGTACCATTGCTCAATCGTTTCCATTCACGTAAATTTATTTAACATGCCACTCATAAGCAAAGTTACATGGACCATAACACCATTTATCCCAAATATGCCAGTGCCACTCATAAGCAAAATTACATAGACTATAACACCATATATCCCAAATATGTCATTTACATTCATAATGCATGAACCATAGTATAATTTATCTCGAACGTGCTAAGTACAATAATAAGTACAATTAAGATACATAATTCATAGATCGAAATACGGAAATATATATATTGTTACACTATTATTACTCACAGTGCTTTGGTCATGTAGCAGTCCCCTCCGACAAATGTCCTACACATCACACATACAACTCATAAGCAAAGCATTCTTTTCTAACTTTAATCCTTCTTCCGATTTGTTTACTTTCCATTCATTTTTAAGAATTTCGGAGGAATTAAATACACACAGTAATGTATTCAGAGGGTTAAAAAGAACAACAAAACATGACAGAATGTTTTCCCAATTCCTGTACGTGCGGAAGTCCCTCACCGCACGTGCGGAGAGGTGTGCCGCACGTGCTTTTTTTTTGGATTGCTTAACTTGCCTCCCTTGTTTAATTGTTTCCCTTGTTTTCCGCACGTGCAGGCCATGAGCCCCGCACATGCGGTCCTGAGCCCCGCACGTGCGGTCCTAGCCCTGTTTGAGGAGTCCGAAAATCTAACAATTTTTAGCTTCCAAAAGGCATCCATAAGGCCCAAATCAAGCAAATTCACTTCAAAACATGACATTTGAGCATAATAAACATGAAATTCAGATCCAATTAGATCATAACTTATTTTAATTGTACATATTCTTAACCTAAATTGCCATATTTCTTTTATCTCTTCATTTTATCATGATCTATCAAAACATATATAAACATATACCAACATATATACACGTATGAGATCAAAGCATGTAAAACTAAAGATTAGAAGGTAGGGCCTCTCAATCTCACTCAAGACAATTCAAAACCCAAAGATCAATCTTTAATTTAACCAACTCCAAAGATTACATGTTCAATTTCATGGAATAAATTCAACCATGATAATAACTCATAAACCCTAACTTTTATGGATATACAAGCTTCATTCTAAAGGCTTGATTCTAACCAATTGAGGAAAGATTTGGGGTATTTGAGTTGATTTATACTTACCTTAAGCCAATCTTTGAATTATTCTTCAATTACCTCCAATCCCCAAGCTTAAAGTTGAACTCTTTTCTTGTTTCTCTTTTTCTCTTCTTCTTTCCACGTTTTTAACTCTTAAAGTCTAAGGATGAGCTCAACA